CTCAGGCAATTTCATTTCCTTTTATTTTATTTATTTGTGTTTTTTTTTGGAGGAGAAAAAATTTTCGCACGGTCAATCAGTGATGACAAAATAAAACGCTGCAAAAAACCCAGCATCTCTGATATGCTTTGTATGGGGTTATGTAGAACAATAATGCTTCCGATACTGTGATGGACGTATTGTCAGTCAGTAAGTCATTTCAATGCAAGTCATCGAATTCGTAACGTAAAATAAATGAAATGAAAAAAAAAAAATAAAAAATTTCTGAAATTCATACTATTTCGATTTAAGTATTCCCACCAAATCGGTTCGCTTCTCTTCTATGTGAACATTAGTGCTGCTGAGAACGTTGACAACGGGAATTACACAAGAACAAAATCCTGGGAAACGTTCCCAAAGCGGACAAAATGCGAACAAAATTTTGGTGAACATTTTCAAGAGAACAAAATGGAAACCAAATTGTCCGGAACGTTCTGGCAATGAACAGAACGGAAAAAAAGTGTAAGGTACCTTCTCTCGAAGAACAATTTGGAGACTTAAGTCTCAGGAACGTTCTGAGAGAGAACGAAACAGGAACAAGTCTTCTCTGAACTATTCGGTAAGAATGGAAGCGAGAACAAAATTTTACTCATAGCGCTACATTAGTTTGAAATGTTTGAATATTAACTGAAAGATAATTGTGCAAATTAAGTCGACGAACTTTTCTTGCAACGAAACGAACTTTCGTGCAGAACGAAAGACACGAACTTTTCTTGTATAGGAAATGAAAAATTTTGCCATAAATGGACAGCTCACCCTAATGATAAACGATAAGAAAATTGAATTGAGCCAGCTTTCCTCTAGCTTAGAATTAACTGAAACGATTTTCCACCCCAAAATGCAGACACTCCTCTCATTCCTAACGTTGAGATCTTAGAACTTTTGTTCTCGATGTTTTCTCTAGCAAACCACAGTTTTGTTCTTATTTGATTCTGCCTGAAAACGTTTTCGATACATTCGTTCTTATGTTGTTTTCAATGGAAACGTTCCCAAAAGTTGCGTTCTCATACTGTTCTTATTGACAACGTTCTTGCGAGATTTGTTCTCATTTTGGCCTTATCGAGAACTTTCCCGAGTGATTAACTCAGTGTGAGGGCAGGACCAGGATGAATTTATTTGCATAATAATGTATTAAATCAAAAATGTTTGGGTAGGCGTCGGAGCCAATGATAACCATCAGTTATCACCTCTGCATGGTTGTAAGTCATGCAGAGCCCCAACAGCTGGTAGCGGCTCGGCTTTTGCTGTTTAAAAACCACTCCGGAGGAGTGGTGATGCATCAAGCGGGTTTGTTGAGCATCGGTTATTTATTTAGGTTCAAAAATTGGGTAGGCGCGGTGGCCAATGGTAGCTCTTGTACCACCTCTGTATGCTGAAAGTCATACAGAGCCCCCACAGCTGGTAGCGGCTTGGCTTTGGCTGTTTGAAACCACTCCGGAGGAGTGGTGATGCATCAAGCGGGATTGATGAGCATGATTTGGAGTGCCAGCAATTAACTACTTTAGTAGGTTTTGTTCTGCGGCAGTTGAGAAGTGCATTAAAAAATGCATACCCAATGAAGAACGAACGAATTATTTGTAAGCACAAGTGCGTGTGTTTATTCGCTGCACTTGGTTTTTGGGCGGGAGTGCAATATACAAGTGCGTGTGTGTGTTCGCTGTTCTTTGTTTATGCGGGATATGCATAAGTCGCTTAAACACCGAGAATTTCCCGAACCTTTTTTTCTCATTTTGTTCCCGTTCAAACTGCTGTTAGTACTTTTGTTCCCCTTTGGTTCTTTTGCGGAAACGTCCTTCACCTTACATTTTGTTCTCGTGCAGAACTAAAACCAAACGTCAACGCGTTCTCTATCCCTGCATAATATCCGTAAAAGCAAGAACAAAAAACATGCGCATTTGTGGTTAAAACGTTTAGACATTGGCATTAGTCATTAATTTTTTAATAACCAAGTAATCTAGTATTTTTATTAATCAATAATGGTCAAAAAATTATTCGATTAGTTATATTGTTTCACTTAAAGCTAGCTCAGGTTATTTAAGGCCAGATTAAAATGATTGCCGTACTCGTAGACCACAAACTGTAGTAATTTGTGATACCACCATATCGATGGTTAAATATTGACAATTCATAACTGACATTTTTTCCGAAATTGAATTATATACATAAAAAAAATTGCTAATAAAATTTGCAATATGTTTGGCCATCGATATATTAATGGTAACTGCTGAGCTATAAAAAACAGCGTTGTGTGTCAAGAATTGGTGTTGTGGCAGTGTTCTTTCAAAACACGCAACACGATTGAGAAGTCGACATTAAGGAGATACCTTGATCGCTTCCGGTTCTACCTGAGCCATGGTAACTTAGCGATAGGACATGACCTACCTGCCTTTAGTCGAGCGCTCGTTGTACTAAACGAAAGTTTTTATTGTGTCCAAGAAAAATCCGCAAGTCGTAAAAACCACTCGCACCCCCTCCTTCATCGGTAAGATAGTCTTGTGTGTGTATCGTTCCTAGCCAACTCATCCGCATGCAGTTTCTACCATTTATAAAATAGCATAAAAATCGTCACCTATATTTGCTTTTAACTTTAACCCATTGGTGTACCAATATACACATCTGGCACGGGCTCGTTTGCACAGAGTTTTACTTTAAATTTTCTGCTAAAGCAGACTTATTTTAGCAGTGACGTTTGATATTTCCATTGCATTTTCCATTTATCCTATCGGGAGCGAAACCAACCTTAAGAGTTTTTTAAATGACAGTTGTTTTTAATATTTTGGGCACTAAACTCTGAAAGCAACTTTATTAAAAGTTTTGTCCAAGTAGGAGTTCCAATTAAGCCTTTGATCAAAGTTTCCAAGATATTTGGCCTTATCAGATCATTCAGGTATCGCCCCTATCAAAGTATATCGTGAGTATCTTTAATAAAAGATTTTAAAAGCCGTACTGTAATGAGCAAAAATAAATGCAAAAAAAACCGCATTTTTCTATCCAAGCAGCCGCATTGGCCCACCGTTGACTTATAGACTAAACGAGTTGATTTTGAGGTCTGCAAATTATTATGGGCGCGATTAATCAGGAAAAAGCAACTGAAACCCAACAGATCCGCTGTGATGTTTCAAAACAGGACACAGTACTATTGATCTACAGCCTTATGTCAACGCATGACAATTATCATAACAACTGCGCCCAAAATTATACCTCAAAACCTGGATTATATTTAAAAATATATAAACATGTACATATTCTTAAATTTTTTGTACATCGGGCTTTATATTTATTAAAAAAAAAAATGAGCCAAAATACACACTCAAGTTTTTCTCAGATGAAATTAGCTTGAGCCTTATAGGGCAATTCTGGCTAAGATAGTAAAAATCTTTCGTAAGACAAATGAAAGAAGGATGGCAAGATAGTTCCAGATACTTTTGTTATTCTAACACAGCGCTAGTCGTGATGATCTATTTTGCGAGAAAATAATTGTATTCTATTTGAACAGAGCACAGGCGTGCCATTCGAGAGATACGAGTTCGGGTCCGCTGGCAGCTAATTTTATTTTTATTTTTTAATCTTATATATTTTTTATTTGGTTGTTCATTTTATGTATTTTTTTCTTTTTCAACTTAATTTTTTCCTTCTTAATTTATTTTTGTTTTTTACTTTTGATGTTATTCTTTTAACAAGAAGAATATTTTTTAATTTCATATAATTTTTTGGAAGTTATTTAATTTTACCCTTCTAGAGTTAATTATTTTTCATCTTTTAGTTAAAGAAAAGTACTTTTTAGTTATACTAAATTTTTAGAAACTTATTTTGTTTAGTTTCTTGTTTTAATTTGATTTGTTACTTTTTATTTAATTTGGTTTCTTTTTTGATTAAATTTTCTTTTAATTTTTAGTCTTAGTTTTAAAATTAAAAATAATTGTTTCTTAATTTCAATGTGCTATTTTCTTTTTGATTTAATGTTATTCTTTTTCTTATTTAATTTCTAGATTTACAGTCAATTTCACGAAAGTAATTTAAGTAAAAAATAATTTTAATTTTTTTAATAATTTGAAAAAATATTGTCCATTTAAATTGCTGTTGATACCGGCTGTTAATATTTTTAAAATAAAAAAAAAACATATTTCTTTTAATTTAACTTAATTTTTTAAAACATTTATATTTAGTTTTGATTTATTTCTATTTTATTTATTTTACTATTTGGCTTTTTTTATTAGTTTTTATTGTTTTAAAATCAAGTATAATTATATGTTTTAATATAATATGATTTATAAACTTATTGCTAAAAACCGAAAGACAGTAAAGAGCTTTGCAGATAGTTGCCAGAAAGGTTTGTGTCTTTCGAAAGACTGGGGTGAGTTGAAACACAGTTGCCACAATTGCCCTGTTAAGCTGCATACAAGCATACGCTTATCTGTGATCCTCGATGAAACAGTCACAGATAACACCGTGCCACAATAAATTTTACACACACAAAAATGAATGCATATATTCAAGAAAATATAAACAAAATATAGTAAAACTGCGTTTTCCATTTTTCACTCTGACGTCGGGATTTTTTAAAAGGACTTTGAAATTTAAGAAATATGATTATTTCTAAAAGTTATTACAAATACTCAGTGTAATGTAGAATTATAATGTATCAAATAAAAGATAAAATCCTGTAAAATTAACAATATTTATTAAAATTTTTGGTGCATAAGTGCTTATTGGCTTATATGCAATATTTTTTCTAAGCTCCATTTTTTTTCAAGAATTTAAGGTTTATTACCTGCATTTAACTATATTCGCATGGGTGTCAGTCACCACCCATTTATACATACAGTTTTGCCATTTTCAAATTCTCGATTTTTCTTCTTCTATTTTAAATGCTCACATTTTATTGAGTTAATTCCCTCGTATGTATCAGAGCCAAAAAATGTTGACTCATTCTTCTTTCTTTTTTACCTTTAATTTAACAGGAGGCATGTCAAAATTACATTCGCATCATGGTGGTGACGTCGCCGGGTCGTTTATTTATATGTGGCACCAATTCATTTCGGCCCATGTGCAATACATACATAATCAACGACAATAACTATACCCAAGAGGCGAGCAAAAGCGGCCAAGCGGTATGTCCCTACGATCCGCATCACAATTCAACGTCAGTATTTGCTGGTAAGTACAATGAAAATATCACTACTACCAACTTGTATGTATATTATCCTTATATACGCGGCTATTTGTGGGCCTACATACAAATATGCGCACATACAGTTGTGTTCAGGTTAATAGTAACATTAAACAAATTTTTACACAATAATACGTAGAAAATTTGGTGGATGATCAAGAAGATCAAGTTTATAGATGAGCAACGAGTGGCACACAATGGTATGTTAGAATTTGATTGGAAAACGCTCTATTTCTGCTGTCGATATTTTGAATTTACATTGAGTTTGGTTGCTCCTGAACCATCTGCTGAGTTAGGGCGTTTCCAAACCGGCTGCCTAGAGGCCGATCTTCCACTCAGCCGTCAAAATAAAGCAGTTCCTATTAATATGAACACAACTGTATATACTACTTTTTTCTTAGTTCATACAAACAAAAAATGTAGAGTTGTATTGTGTATCCGCCGCATATGCACAAAAAACGTCAATGCTGCATGTTAACCGGCTTGCCCATGTCGTTAGTTTTACATACACAAAACCCTTCTACTCTTCCTTGTGCTAACGCCATTTTCAGCGTAACGTTATCAACCAATTCACAAGTTAGCTTTTAACGTATGCAACGTCATGTTTTTTTCGTTAAAGTTTTTTTTTTTTTGGTTTTCACGTTTTTTTCCAGGTCTTTTTTCTTGTGTTCTTCATAAGTGGTTGTGTTAATTTTTTCGCTGATTTTTTTTTTCCTGTGCGCCTTTATTTAGCGATAGTTGCTCTCTTCTTGTTCTTTTTTTTTTTTGCTATTATTTGTTGCCACTATTGTCTATCTATTCTTTTCATTTCGTTTCATTTTATAACGTATCTTCTTCGTTGTTGTCAATTTGTTTGTTTTGCTTTCGTTTTTCAATTTTCTTTCTCTCTCACACTCCTCTGAGTCGCATTTTGTTTGTATTCGAATTCATGTACCATTCAAGGGTTCGAGTTTGGTTTTTGGTTCGCTTCATGCTGTTTGTGCCGCCACCGCCGCCGCCGCCGCCGCCGCCATCTATGTGCAACACTTTTCGCTCTTCTGTTCTTGCAAATTGATGCGCCATTTTGTTGCAATAACTGTGCATTCTTTATTGTCCTGTGCGCGGCTGGTGGAAGTATTCGCTGCTCAGCTTTTTTTCGCGTATGCCGTTAGCACTATTTTGTGGGTCGGTGTACCACCGATAGTTTTGCTATTATTCTTGTGCTCTAGAGTAGGGGAATTGTAGTGAGCTTACTTTTTCTAGCCGGGTTTTGGTTTTTCCTCCATTATTTTCACTTTGTTTCCGGTATTAAAATTTGTGTCTTGTTTGTTACCTCTTTTTAATGGGCCAATACCTTTGGTACTTCTCTGTTTTGTTATTTTATTTTCTTTTTGTTTTGTTTATAGTTTTGCAAATTTTGTCCTTTTATTTATTTTCATACAGTTTTTCAGTCCCTCTTCGCCACTTTTTCACTCATTTTTGGGTGTTTCAGATTTACCTTTTTCTATTACTATGGCGAGTAGATACGCGCTTTGTGAGAATTTTTAGCGCACAGGAATCGGATAAAAATTGTCATTCATCATCCGGCGCACTAGGACAGCCATACATGAGCCAAAACTAACTTTTTTTTTTTAGTTAAATATAAATGTATCTCGCACAACTACCAACTCGACAAGCGTGTCCTCTTCATCTACTATGTATGTATCTCTAAACCCCTTTTGCTTGTGCTCAGCACTACATTCAGACACTGTAGGGCTGCTTATGGCCGGCCACCAACTTGTCACGGATACTGCTGTATACCGTTAACTTTTTTTTATGAAAATTTAAAATTTTTTTTTTTAACATCCGCATATTTTCTGGCCGCAATGATAAATTTGCTACGCAGATCAACGCTCTAACGCTTTTCGGAAACATATTGGTTGGTTAGTGGGCAAAGTGCGGTTGATTAAACGAATAGAAAAAAAAAATCAAATATACTTTCAGGTTAGTTTTAGCAGTTGAAACTACTGACAGCGCTCTATGCGCGCTATGCTATGCCATATTTAGTTGCATATTTATTTGTTAGATAATTTATTTTCACATTTGCTTAAGTTATTTTCATGTTTGTTTTTATTTTATTGTGCACGACATTATTTTTTCGCACAATTTTTATTTGCCATAAATATTTTTATCACATTCAAATGGGGCCAATAACGATTTGTGGCCATTTCGGTTCCATTTCCTGGTGTTGGTGTTTTTTCTTCCTCGCTGACTGGCTGGCTGGCGCTGCAATGGCAACAGTAGCAGCGGATACACGCGTTTTTTTTTTTGTTGCCTCGGTTGCTCGCTTGACTAGGATTTGATGATAATTTATGACCAAATAAATGTGAACACAAATCTGCATATCATGGACATGTTTCACATATGCAATTTCAGCTTGTATGTAGTTTGTAATGCTTATGAGTGTAAAGGAAGCGGCTGTTAACGTAAAATACAATTGTGTCTGAAAAAAAAGCACATTACGACGGTAATATACAGATATGTATATATGTGTGCGTGGGTGTAGTAATAACATGAAAAGGATCTTTATGTGAATGTGTAGTTCTCCTCTGCTGGTGGCAATACCCGATTAGAATGCAAAATATTCAAATTGATAACCATAAAATTTATTTATTTTATTTAGAAAAAAACAAATTCACAAAAACTGCCTTTGCGTATTACATACATATATGGTGGCACACTTATCTCAAACAATGCATTATCTACAGTTTTGCCTAAAGAATAAGATTCCAAAGCGAAATCGTATTTAAATATAAACTTAAAAAAGATATACTAAGAAAGTCAAAGTAACAACTCGCGTTCATACATATACCCGTAGTTCTGTAGGTAACGTACACGCCCCGTGACACCGTACACAGGCAGCTAACACATTTACTCGCACGCCTTAACTTAAAAGCCATAGATTTAACTTAAAAGTATTGGCGTGCAAGATTTTTACACCGTATTCCTTATGTACATATATATATATATAGGATGAAATTCGCCAAGAACTTAGAAAATTTAATAGCCTTTACTTGTGCAAAAAGAAATTCAAAATTCACCAACTACATTCAAAGAAACTTGCAATTAAGTGAGAGCACTTTTTTCAGATCCCAAAAACTCGAAATTTGGATACATCTCAAAAATTGTTATACTTTCTTGGTTCTGATTTCGTATTCGGATGCAGCGGAAAATTACAAAATTTTACATTAGAATGCATATAAAAATGTCGCTTGTCGGACAATTTTTTCAACTAAACAGGTTGCAGCCCTACTAAAAAATAATATATAAATATTAGGGCGGGTCAAATTTTTTGCATCAAAGGCACATCGCGATTATGGTTATTTGGGTAATTTCAAGCTAAATGAATTTCAAGCCAGTAGTTTTCTTTCAAAAAGTGGCTCAGCTAATGAAACAGCTCTAAATGTGTATCTGGGGGTTTTCGGGGTCGAGGAATCCATTTGGGGCATTAGTTTTTCCTTTTGAGGGCCGCCAGAGGGCGCTTCCGTACTTTTGTAGGATTTTAACGCCTTTTTAGGATTTTAACGCCTTTTTCCGAAAATCGACAGCATTGTTGCGCAAAACCAAGAATTTTGACTTTCTCATAATGTAATCTCAATTTTCAAATAGCCTAAATGTTCACAACTTATATCGATTTTATTCAATTTAGGACGAAAAAAATTCGTTTTTTTTTTATTTGTTCTCTGGGTTTTTACAAAACCTTTTTTTTCTTATTTTAATTTATTTTTTTATTTATTTTTTTATTCAAAAATTCAACTTAAAAGATAAAAACATATCGTCACTACACACGAATAAAGGCGCGCTAGTGTTTTGACGGCGAAAAAAGGCGCGTAAAAAAATTTTGCGAAAAAAAGATGCTTATGAAAAACTTCGGCGAAGTATGTTAAGAGTCTTTGACGCTGAAGTTTTTTATGCGTCTTTTTTCGCCGTCAACTTTTGAGCTCGTGCCTTTATTTGTGTCTAGTAATTTCTAATGTTTCAATTTTTAAATAGGTATATTGTATTTTTATTTTTTTTAATATTATGTTGGTAATATTGTTTATCGACATATTGTATGGCAAAAGACATGTGTGACAGCATGCTTTTTCATTTTCATACTGTGTTAAAATAAAAAAGAAATAAAAATAAAAAAATAATAAATAAAAATTTTCAACGCTGAACATTTTAGGCTGTTTAAAAATTAAAGTTGCATTATGATAAAGTCGAATTTCGTGGGTTTTCGCGACAATGTTGTCGATTTGCGGAAAAAAGGCGTTAAAAACCAAAATAAAAGTACGGAAGCGCCCTGTAGTGGTCCTCAAAAGAAAAAATTAATGCCAGAAATGGATTCCTCGATCCCAAAAACCCCCAGATACACATTTGGAACTAGTTTTAAATACAGGTATTTCAACAGGTGATCCACTTTTTGAAAAAAAAACTCTATAGAAAAAATCGCTGGCTCGAAATTCATTTTATGCCTACGCTGTCTTGGGCAAAAATGCCTGAAATGACCCAAATAATCATAATCGCGATGTGCCTCTGTTAATTTTTTTGGGCACCTACAAATCGGCCCGCCCTAATAATTATACATCTGGCGGCCAAGCCCTTTATTTGACACCTCATTTCTTGTAATCTAACCAACAGCCCAATTTTTTTAATTTTTCGCACATCTTGCAACCCTGTTCGAAAAATAAAATCTTAGTGCAAATCGTAAGGTCAAGCCTTTTCCTTTCACACCTCATTTTTTTAAATTGAATGAACTGTGCAAATCTAATGTCGTTAACAAAAGATGCCCTCGCGTATTATACATACATAATTTTTAAAGAGGTAGCAACCCCAAACAAATTAAAAAAAACACTTATTGCACATGCAGAGACCATCTCCTTTCACTTGTTACTTCAGTTTTTAGTCCAACAAACGGAGAAGAGCTTATCATTTTTAAAAAGTGGCAACCCTACTCAAAAAGTAATACATTATTGAACATCTAAAA